AATTTGTTCGATGGATGCTGACATCCTCTCTTAAATACTTTCTGCAGTGAATTCCTAGTTGCAACTCTAAACGCTTTCTCTAAAAATCGTTTCAGTTTACTTTCAGTCCAATTCCGACGTGCTTTTGTACATCAGAGAGTTTTAATTTTTAACATCGATTTTCTGACGACTTTAGTTTTTTTGCAACACAACTCTCTTTGTATCGTTTATGGGCACTATTTCCCATATTTTCACTAGCGTCATGCAGTGCACCTAACTTTTTTTGTTGTCTCAGTGTACAGTGTTTGTGAGTGATACGTTCTTGCTTTTAAAAGAATTGATTGATTGTCACCTCAGGTAGTAGCTCTCCGTTGTCAAAAAACTGCGAAGATCCATGACAAACTGACATAAGCTACAACAAATTGGAGTGAAACCATTTCATTCTCTTAATGTTTAAGTTGATTAGACAAATTATATAATTCCATGATTCGCCGCCGTTCACTTGGAACAGGAAAATATGGAATACTCTGTGGCTCAGTGATAGAGCATCGGAGCGCGGAATCCAAAGGTCTGAGATTTGATTCCTCATGAGGACTCAGATTTTTTTCTTTGTCCTATGCTCGTGACAAGACGAAAAATATATTTCCTTTATTTCTTTACCGAGCTCAAAACTTAGCATCTTGTTTGTCACTGCGACAGGTGATTTGGTCCATGTATTAGCGGACCGTTTAAGCTCATAGCGAGACTCGTACCCACTCGTCACCTTTATTTTCTATCTGCAGAGAGATCTGGAAGAAGATTGGGGTCCGCAAAGGTGCTTGGGAAGAAACGAGAAAAAGTGGCTTCGCTCTTTTCTTCCTTCCCTCTCTTGATACTGCCCCATCAATCACTTCGCGAATAAGAAGCGACTGGGTACGAGTCTGGCTGATAGCGACTGTTTTGTTTAGAAGTGGTTTTTTTTTTAATTTTTAGTGAGTAAAGAATGATGTTTACGGAAACTGCAAAAAGGAAACCCTTCTTTTGCTCACTGTTCTTGTAATCCTTAAATCAGCACTGAAAAAATTATAATGTCTTACAAACTCTTGTTAGCATTCAATTCAAATACTTTCACAGGCGACAAGAATTTGCCATTTACTGCAAACGTTCCGCTTATCTGCAAGTCGTCAATTAACTTGCTTTAAGTACTCTCTAAAAAAGTTCTTTTGAGGCCTCTCTGATCAGCCAATTTGCTTGAACGCAGCCGGTGTCTAAATTTTAAACCCCAGTGTTTGCTGTCGTGCCTGCTATATTAATTGCAGAACTTTACACAGGATTCCAATTCTATTTTATAATGCTAAATTACAAATTTGTGGTCACAGATAATCTTCTTTAAAGCCTCCTTCCTGTTTCTGTGACGTAATTCAGCCTTTGAGGGTTCTTTGAAGAACTTACAAGGTATTAAGAATATACAAACCTTCATTTTGCATTCCGACGATAGACCATATAACAGTCACCTAATTTAATATGTCACTTTCACTGGTGAGGTGTTTTCACAAACATGTCTCATGAGACGGCATGTCAAAGAGACCTCAACTGGTTCTTGTTCTCTGCTCACCAAATTCTTCGTCAGTGTTGCGCTTCGCCAATGAATGGCGGGAAACGGCTATAGGCTAAAGTGAAATAATACGAAGCTGAAGTCTTGTATTCATAACAGCTTCATATCATGTCAGTTAATTTTTAAGGAATTAAATCAGATGATAAAGAAAAAACGCCACTTTTAAAAAGGGCCATTATATTGTAATTGTGGTTTTTTTTTTTTGCATTAGTAACTGCTTAGCATATAGGGTTTTCTTTTTCTTTAAATTAATCACGAGTGAAAAGCCTAGAATAGTGTACTGTTATGAACACTATGTGTTACCTGTCTCTGCCATGAAGTCGGGGTGATCTTTCAAAATTAAAATTGTCTAAAAATTCCAAAAGGAATAATTTACTTGTAAGTCTATAGCATTAAACATTGACAAGGGAGCATAAAAAAGCTTTTACCAAATGGATTTTTCTGTCAATCAGCTCCTTCCGATTGGTTTTTAAAACTATTGTTATGGTAACGAAAACGTAGAAGGCGAATGCTACACTTTTAATAGGTTTTTAAAATTGATATACACACTAGGTAGCGTATGGCATCCCAAACTGCTTTTATCATCATTTCCCCGGCAAACTTCGTCAAATTGGACAACTAATAATTTCTTACGGCTGATTTTTCTTTAGACTGAGAAGTATTACTTCCCCTCACGAATATAGAAAGTTAAAGAAAACGTCGACCTGCACTTTTCTTTTCGACAAGCGAAAAAGGAATTTTTCAGGTAAGTGTTTTTCGTGGCGAGAAAGAATCGCCACCTTGTTCCAGATTTTAAATAATGCCTGTAAAATAAGTATATTTCAATGTAATTTGAAGTACTGTGAATTCATGTGGATTTGTAGATGAAACAGATTCGAAACAGATATTTTGGATAGAAGAATGGAATTTCAGATGGCACTTTTAAATCGATGAGGGAGAAAAGTTATTGTAACACCTCTTGAGAAAATTTGGAAATGCATTCATAGACCTCTTCAGGAAGATATTGAGGTACACGAAAATTTTTTCACAGCAAGAGAACAAGGTCCTCGTTAGAAAGATCCTTCTTATTAAAGGTGCCCGCTTGATACATTCATTGTCTAACTGCGGGAAAAAACGAAGAAAGAAATTGAGTTTCATCCAAGCTTGTTGGTGTTATTTCATATATCATCCGGTTAAACAGGTTTTGATGCGTTTTAATGCTGATCCAAAATAACAGGGAAGTGTTTCACAACCTTCTATAAAATCCCAGGGGAAATAAAAGAGAGAAATTGAGTTTTATCCAATCTTATTGATGTTACTTCACATGCGGTTCGGTTAAACAAATTTTCATGCGTCTTAATACTAATCAAAAATAACCGGGAAGTGTTTCATAACATTCTGTGAAATCCCATTGGCATACACCTGGGATTTCTTCAGATTCCTAAGTGTTTGTGGGGGCTTATGCCAGGCCTTACAAGCGATATGCAGAAAGCGTTCCCATGATCCCACATGGGCTGATATGAACTACGCTGCATTTAATATCAGCCCTCAGACAAAATTATTTTACCGTATTTACAGCGCATTTCGATTTAGATCCAAAACGAAAGCGAGCAAAATATCCAATCGGAGCGAGAACGAAACATCGCAAGGAACGATGAGAACAAAAGGCAAAACAATTAAACTGCGTGAGCGCGGGAAAACGTGGGTGGTTTACAACTGGCTTTGAATCTGATTGGTTTGGAGTGTAACACGAGTTTTCTGGACCAATCACAGAGTAAGGTAAAATGAAACCAAAGCAATTCTAGATTAATTCTAATTCTAGAGAAATTCTGATCTTAGCGGTAGGCAGGACACAAGTCACATGTGAACTTAACAACTGTCTCGTTCACCAAAGAAGTTCTGTGGCTCAGAGGAAGAGCATCGGAGCGCGGCGTCCAAAGGCCTGATGTTCGATTCCTTTCGGGTGCCCAGAATTCTCTCTTTGTCGCGCTAAATTTACCATCTCTCTTGATCTAATCCAGAGTATCTGGTGTACTTTCGACACTAGTTATCTTGCTGAAAGACTCTTTGAACGTCAATCAACAACCAGCTGCATACTCGATATTTTGTGTGAGTGATGATCGTTATATCGATTCATCCTTAACTGCATTTTTATTAGTAAAGATAATGCAAACTTCTCGTAGTCAGGACGGCATCTTTACTTGAACCTTATTAACTGATCATGCGCTCTCTGGAGAGTGAGTTGCAATCGGGCAGAATTAGGCTGACGCTTTCCTAGTTATGTTTCTGTCTGAGAGATCTTGACCTAAACATTCGCGCTTGGAAAACCGATTTCTCTCGCGGATGGTGTTATTATTCCTGAGTCCAACAGGATATTTCTCGCAGGTGCCTTCATGACGGGGAACACTGTCTGTAGAATTCTGATAAGTCTATAATTAATTTTCTTTATTATCCAATGGGTTGCTTTTCCTCAGAAAGTTCCATAGTACGCACTCGCACATTTGTAGAAATTAATAAAACATGCCTCAGCCGCGACATAACATCGGTAGACAAAATAATATGCCGCGGGTGTTTGTTTTATTATCAAAAAAAAGAGCAAAAAGTGTTCAAAGAAGGGTAAAAATTCAAACTAATGGGCGCCGGAAACTACAACATATAAACCTTTTTTTACTAATTTTTGTTTACGATTTCGTGTCTTGGCATATTTTGACGTGAAATTCAAACACACTGGGGCAGAAATTTTTATAAAAAACAACTGAAGTTTATTTAGTCAGCTGCTGGTTTTAATTCACCTTTATAACTCGCTTTAGATATCACTTTCGTAAATTTCTTTTACGTCATTGGGGAGAACATCTTTCGAACGTTATGACGAAGAGATTGCTAAAT